AAGCTGGAAAAACCCACTGAGATCATCATCGCCAGCCATTCCCCAGCACTGCCAAGGCCACCACTAGCCCATGTCCCCAGGTGCCACATCCACATGGCTTTTGAGCACAAGATGAAGCGGAGCTGGTTGTGCTCCCTGCTTCTCTGTGGCTGTCTGCCAGCAGCCACTGCAGACCAGTGTCCCTGTCAGCTCCTCCCATGCACGTGTGCCTTTTAGGAAGGATTTAGGAATGTGGGATTGACTGATCTAGCTGCCTGGCACACCAATGGGTGCTGCTGCAGCTGGAATTGCATCACTGGTTTCACCAGCCCTGTGCTGGGTGCCAGTCACAACATTCCTGCTGCGTTCCCAGCCATCAGACACATTCCCCAGGCTGGGAAACCCACCATGGCTTTGAGTGAGAAGTGAATCATCCCCAGGGAGCTGCAGGGCTGCCATCTCTGGGGGCACGGCTCCACCAGCCCCTTGGAGAGGGGAGAAGCCTTGCAGTGGCCAGCCCAGCCCCTCTTCCCTCTCCACCTCTACGCTCATCAGCCACTGCCCAGTTCAACTCAGTAATGAATTAAATGCACCCAGGAACATTTCCCAGAACTCATTCGACTGTATCCCACAGTGATCGACAGTAACAAGTGACAGAACAAGAGGCGATTCAGAGGGATATTGGGGAAAATTCCTTCCTTGAAAGGGTTGTCCAGCCCTGTCACAAGCTGCCCAGGGAAGTGGTGGAGTCACCATTGCTGGAGGGATTTACATCTGTGTAGACGTGGCACCTGAGGATTTTGCTTAGTGGTGGCCTTGGCAGTGCTGGGGGAGCAGCTGGCTTGAGGGTCCTGGAGAGTTTTCCCACCTAAATGATTCCATGATTCTTTGCACATACTTTTGTGGGAACAAGGCTGGTGGCTCTGGTGCCACAGGTACCTCTCCACCCGCTGTGCTGCATCTACTCCCTCTGCTTTTTACCTTCCCTGGATGTTCTGGCTCAAAGATGTTTAATTTCTATCAGAATACCCAGAGCAGCCTAAATAATTTTGGGGATTGCTGGCCTCTGTGTGGTTGGCTTTTCCTGTTAAACAGAAGCTCTACAGGTGGTGGCAGACAGGATGGATTTTTACCTGTAGCAAGAGGAATGAGCTGCATTATTTTCTTTCCTATGAGGATTTACTAGGCCAGCCACAACAAGCACTTTGATTGCAAATGTTTGTCCCAGGCATGGAAATGGAAACACTCCAGACTTTCCTTTTGTTCCCTTCAGATGGTGGTTTGCTCAGTGATTGGTTCTGAATCAGAGAAGATATTTGAACTAATAATGGTGATTTTGGCTGACATTCAGATACATGCATTCTATATATAAAATATGTGTTTATATATAAAAGAAACACACAGTAGTTTATACATATGTATAAATACATATATAAAATACATGTAGGAAGTAATTCCAGGCATGGGAGGCAGGAGTTCTGTGGGAGCAGAGCCAGGAGCCCCTGTGGCACCCACTGGAGCTCTAACCACACTGGAATATTTACTGTTCCCTGCTTCCCCTGCATTGAACCTTGGCGACCAATTACCCCGTATTAAATTGTGTTTGGTCATGGCAGTGATTATACAGTATCCAGGCAACCTGGACATAATCTAATTTAACACCCAACGCGGATTTACCCCGCTGCTGTTCTCTGTTTTGCTGGAAGGGAGTGAGAAGTGAGCAGGGACGCCCTGGGAATGGCCCAGGCCGGGGGGACGGGGCTCCCTGTCCCCAGGGCACGGCAGGGCTCGGTCCCAGTGACACCAGCTGGGTGCTGCCAGTGCCCAGCACGCTGCTGGGGCAGCACCAAGTGGCTCAGGGGTTGATGGAGCTGCTGATGGGGAGGCAGTGCTGAGCACAGAGCTTCCCCTGGCCAGGGGCTCTGCCTGTCCCACACCCCCAGGCTGATCCACCCTGATCCCCGTGGGAAGCACCGTGTGCTGCCAGGAGAAGGACCAGCCCGGAGTCCCAAAGCCACTGACGCCTGGCCCGCTGTGAGCAGGAGTGAAGTGAAGGGGTTCTGCACATTCCTCCATTAGCTGTTGCTTTCTCCTTGCTGGAAGTGACTCCTGTGAGGTGGGGAGCAGGAAAAGGAGTCGTAGAAATGAATGGTAGTGCAGTTCTCTCAGAGTGCATCAAGGGCCGGAAAGAAACAGCAGGTTAAAAGGAAAATACAGTGAATGCTTGGAAAACTTCTAAAGAGCAGCTCGGGAATGGCACTGACAGTCCCTGCCAAGCAGCCCCGGCATTAAGCCCACTTTGGGCTGAGAACACCCATCTTTAGAAACTGCGGCGTTATTTCCTAGTACAAAGGATGACGAAGAGCTGTAATTTAGAGTGAATTATCCTGTGGGTAATGGATGGGGAATTTGAAGGATGTGAAAGGTGAATCATGTTTTGGAGCACGGCTGTGGTGACCTGGTACAGGGATGGCTATTGCTGGAAAAGTACCCGGGGTGCAGAGCAGGAGTTGGTGCGGCCCTGAGGTTTATTCCAGAAAGGAGGAGACTGCACAGCTGCAGAACTGCTCCCACGCTTCAGAGGCAAGGCAGAGTCCCTGGGGAGGGGTGGGGTGGGGAGGCGAGGGCAGCCCCCTGTGGGTGGGTGGGCAGGCCCGTGGCTGCTGCTGTGGGACATGTCCTGCCTGGCAAGCCATTAATAGCCCAGTCTGAAATAATTGCCAGGACCACGCTCAGCTGCCTCCTGTAATGAGCTGATGACAGTGCAATTTATTAGAGTGATGTAGGACATGGTAACGGTAATGAGAAATGGAGGCACCTAATTTTGCGCGACTTAGATCAATTAGGTTGTTTTTTTATAAATGAACATTGTTTTACTAACCACAGAAGATCATTAAAATTATTATTTTATTAATGCTTTTGAAAGCCATTTGGACTGCAGCTGCGTTTTTCCATATCCAATTAGGAGCATGCAAATGTGTGTCTGAAATGCAATTTTGCAGTGCAAAAATGGAATTTGTGAGTGATGTGAGTGGGAGGGGGGGGTGGGTTTGAATCCCCATACAAGTATTATTTAGTATATATTGTTTCTTATCAGACTTGTTCTGCCTTTCTTGCTGCTCCATGAGGTTGTGACTCCCTAAGGAGAGTTTGTTTCCCCTCCCAGCTCAGCAGTGCTGGCATGGCCATGAGCAGCTTGGTGAGCTCTTGGCTGTGGTGAGGATGAGGATGGGGAGAAGCTCTGTGCCTGCCCAGGGTGGGGATGGCCAGCCTGGCTGGCTGTCACCCTCTGGGGAGGCTGTCACCCCTGGTGAGGCTGTCACCTCTGTGGCAGAGCCTCCTGCCCCAGGCAGTTACTGACACCAGGGATTCCCACAGGCTGTGATGGAATATTCAGAGCCTCCTGGCAGTGGGGGAGTTAGGGGTAGCAGGGACGTCCCACCAGCTCCTGAGGGCTTTGGCCAGGACCTCCCCACGCACTCTGAGCTTGGATCCCAAGCACAGGCTCAGCAGAGGGGACAGCTCTGCCTGTTCCCCGGGGATGAAATGTGAGGCTTCTTGCCCAGGCAGTGAGGAGGGCTGCTGTTGCTCTGGGGGAGCTAAGCCAGCAGCCCTGAGCCCCCCTTGTGATGAGGCCCCTGTCTGCTGCCTGAGGAGATGTGTGTAGGGATGAGTTCTTTGCTGGCTCAGGTGAGATTTGGATGGAAGAGGATGGAAAGCATCTTTTCTTTTTAGCCAGCCTGGACTTGCAGTGTGCTGGAATATGCTGACCTTGCACATGAATGTCTTGACCCCAAGATCAATGTTGGAAACTCACAGTAAATTTTAGGGTCAGTCCAGCATGTGAGTCTGCTGCAGGGAAAACAGTAGAGAAAGTGAAAGAAAAGACACTAAAACTGCCTCAGGCTACAACTGTGTGAGCACACAGCCTGAAGCCACCACATTGCCTGGTTGAAGAGGTCAGGAGCAAACCACAGGAAAGACTCCTGGGGCCACAGGGCTGCACTGCAGGTCACGGGCACACAGGTGAGTCTGTGTGTCCCAGCAGTGCCAGGGGGCACACAGGTGAGGAGTCTGTGTGTCCCAGCAATGCCAGGGGGCACACAGGGTAGTCTGTGTGTCCCAAGAGTGCCAGGGAGCACACAGGTGAGTCTGTGTGTCCCAGCAGTGCCAGGGGGCACGCAGGTGAGGAGTCTGTGTGGCTCAGCAGTGCCCAGGGTGCCCAGTGAGCTCCATCCTTCCTGGAGAGCCGAGCACCTGCAGGCCAGCGTGATGAAGGGCACCTGCCTGTGCCCTGTTGCTGTGTGCCCTCGGGGTGAGGCAGAGCAGAGGAGTGCCCCATCAGGGCTGCTCTGTGCCTCTGAGGCCAGGTGCCAGCTGGAGCTGCTCCAGGGTGACCCCTCAAACACCATAAGGCAGGTGCCACATCCTCAGCATGAGCTGCTTCACTTTGCCAAGCTGGTCTGTGCCCTCTCATGAGCTGAAAGAGATGGAGGTGGTGAGGAGGGAGGCTTGGGGGGGTCCCCATGCCATGGAGAAGGGAACCCCTGGAGATCTGGGGGCAAAGCCCCATCCTGGCCTCCCAGCCAGCCTGGCTGGGGCTGACCTCTGCTGCTGGAATGGCTGGGAAGGAATTGGCCTTTGGAACACATGAGGTCGCTCACTGAGCTGGAGAGCAGCATGTGTCAGAGGTCCAACGATTTGTTTTCAGAAGGGTTTTAAGCATTAATGATTCAAGATGTTTTCCTGGGAGTGGTTTGCAGCATGAGGCTCAGTGGCTGGCGTGGGGTTGAGGTTTTAGGGGATTAGCCAATTCATGGAGGCTGAAAGGTCCCCAGGAACACAACAGTTAAATTTGTACTTTTCCACATGGCTGAGCCTTCAAGGAGCTCACCAGGAGCGTGAAAAATGTAAACAGCCTTGTAAGCCTTGTGCCAGCCACGAGGCAGGGAAGGCAGGGAGGGGGATCCCTGTGGATTAGTTCCATCACCTACTTCATTTTCTTTCTCTTTTTTCCCCAGAGTTGCAGATAATCACAAGCAGAACCTGATGACTGTTGCTAATCTGGGTGTGGTGTTTGGGCCGACGCTGCTTCGACCTCAAGAGGAAACAGTGGCTGCCATTATGGACATCAAATTCCAGAACATTGTGATTGAAATTTTAATAGAGAACCACGAGAAGGTAATGGCTTCCCTTGCTTCTTTCATGTCCGTGGTTTATGGAAAGGAACTGGTCTCTCTTTGCCCCTGGCAGTCCCCTCTCCAAGCCCCCCACTCCCCATGTGGCAGCACGGTGGGGCTGTGCTGGGGAGGGGGCAGCTGGCACCTCGTTCTTGGGCTGTGGTTGTGTAACCAGTGCTGCTGGTGGTCAGCCTTGTTTGTGGTCATCCCAGTGTGAGTCAGCACGGCCACGTCTCCATCACAGAGATTCCCTTTCTCCCCTCTTCCCGCTGGTTAATGGGACTTTGTCCTTGGTGTTGAGAGAGGAGTGCTAAAGCAAACCAGTGAGATGCACACCTCAGCTGGCTCCTGCTTTGCTGACTAAATCCAGGTTTACCCAAGCACTGGCTTTATCCACAGTGTTGATCTGAATCCTGATGTGTTTGTTGGCCATGGATGTTGGGGTCTGTCAGTGGAGCAGTGGTGGCTCGGTGGGGCTGAGGTCCTGGCCATCCCTCCCTGGCTGCATGTGCTAAAAATTACCATTTTCTTCTAAATGCTGCCAGTTCCCTGATTATGATCTTTTGTTAGTCTGGTTTGGATTGGAAAGGAGCAATGGATTTGTGCATTTGGGCAGCGAAGGCAGAAGTAGAAACCAGCTTGCCCTGGCTGGGGTGCCATCGTGGCTCTAAGTCCACATCCAGTTCTGTCTTGAGCAGAGAGCTGTGCCAACATGTGCTTTTCCTGTTGGGAAACCTGGCCATGCCAGTTGTCTGGCAGGGGCAGGGAGCAGGAAAGACGCTGAGGAATGGGTTTAATGGACTCCCAGCAATGGAGAGAGACTTGGAGAGAGCTGGTCTGGAGGGGTCACTGCCCTTCTCTGAGCCTGTGGGGTCTAGAAAAGGAGCAGTACATAACCAAACATCAGCAACCAGCGAGCCTGCTGCCCTTCGGGTTTGTGCAGTTTTCAGATTTCATCCCCTTGAGAAAAATGCGATTACTCAGTTTTCTGACAGCTGTAGCTGGAAGTTGCAGAGACTTTCCCAAGCTGGTCTGCAGCCGTGGGAGTGTGGGCGCCGGGGTCACGCGCTGGGGGCACAGGGGGGACACTGCTGGTCTGTCTGGGCTGCTCAGCATCACCTGCACCCCCAAAACGTCACGGAGTGCCAGAGCGTCAGGGCTCTTCACAGCTTGCAGTGTGCATCCTGGGTGAAAAAACAGGAGTGCAGACAGGGTGGGAACGTGGGATTTAGGAATCTGTCCCCAAAATGTTGCCCTGCTGAGTGCATGTCTTCCTCAGAAAGCTGCGCTGCGGCGCGGTGCAGCCCAGGCAGGTGGGCAGCCGTCCTGTTCCACGGGGTGATGCCAAAGAACAGCTTGTTTATTGTTTTTAACAGATATTTAACACGGTGCCAGAGGCTCCGGCGTCGAACTCGCAGCTGCTGTTATCGCGCAAGAAGAGCGCGGAGGCGAAGCCGCCCTCGTGCAGCGAGCGGCCGCTGACGCTCTTCCACACAGCGCAGCCCAGCGAGAAGCGTGAGTGCCCTGCCCGCCCTCCAGCTCTGCCCAGCGTGCCTGGGGACTGTCATTGCTGTGCCATTCCCATGCCATTCCCGTGTGGCTTTCTGCTGCTGGAGGAAGGGATGATTCCATAGTGGGGTCAGCTTCGGTTTCCTCCGCTGCGGCGTTGGTGGGGATGGAATCTCTCCTGGCATCCGAGCCCTCAGCCGGGGCTCGACAGGAGGCTGCCTTAGCATGGGATAAAGTGTTGCTGTCCCCTCCCCACCTGCCGGGCCCCTGCGTGTCCCCGGCTCATGTTGCTGGGCCCGTCATCGCTCCATCAGCTGCGGGGACGCGGGTGCCACACCTGTGGCAAGGGCGGCCACCGGGGCGGCCCTTTTGGGATGCCCGCGGGCACTTCGCCTTTTACAGACAGGAAAACTCTGCCAGCAGCTTCAGCATTTTCCTGAGGATTATGTACCATGGGGCTCGTCTTTCCATTTCTGTCACTAATTGATGCTCCAGATATTCGGGTCAAAGAGCCAAGGCTCCAGCCCGGCTCGTGGGGTGGCAGAAATGTGTCTGCTCAGGCTGTTGTTTCATGTTACAGAGTAAAGCCAGTTCCCAGCTCTCTGGTTCTTCTGCCCACGTGCTCCTGGAGCCAGCCAGCTGCACACAGGGAGCTCTCCCAGTTTGGTAAAAAAGCAGCAGAGGCTCCTGGTGAGCAGGGCAAGCACAAGTGGAGCAGGGAGCAGGGAGGGCTGGGGATAGCCAGCTCCCCAGGGTGCACAGAGGGGTTGCTGTGGACTTTGCTGACTCTCAAAACACGTGGGTTTGTCTGATTAAGTTACTGTTAACTACCAGGCACTCTCCTTTCGGAGGCTGTCGGAAAGATCCGCGTGGGTTTGAGGAAGCAGTGGTGGCCCCAGAGCGTGCTCTGGAAATGGTGTGGGATGACTCTCGGTGAAGCCTCAAATATCAAACACTGCTTTTGAAAACTTTCAGCCCCAGTAATTCATTTGCTGCTAACTAAGCAGTGGCATGCCAGCCTCCAGGCTCTCTGGGCTCTGTGTGCCATCCTCCCTGTGCCTGGCAGAGGAGCTGAGCTCATTTCTTTATTTCTGCATTTATTTATTCCCATGTGAAGCAGCATTTTCTTGGTGTTCCTCCTGACAGTCTATTGCCTCCTGTGTCTTTGGGAAGCCACTACTGTTTTATTTGCCTTCCCTGCTGCACATCATGAGAAATATGTGAGGTTTCCTTTCTTCTTCTTTTCTTCTTCCTTTCCTTTCTTATTGGTCTGGAGACAGACCAAGGCCCTGAAGTCAGGCTGAAGAACAAGGGCTTAGGCAGCAGCTCAGTTAAGCACCACAAAAATTGAAAGTTGGAATTGAAGCTAGAAATGTTCTAAATGGGAGCAGGGTGCACATTTTTGGAGACTGGGAGCAGTCTGACATAAAAAGAAGTGGAGTGGGAAGGTGGATTTTCCATCACTTGAAATCTGTTCACTGAAGTCTAGTATCTTTCTGATGTTTTCTAGCATTCATGATACCAGGCTGTGTCAAGTCAAAAATTATAATGTTCAACACCTAGGGAGCAGATTAGATAATTGTGATTAATCTGTTATTATAGTGATTATTTTGTCGTTAAACATTTACATTTTTATCCACATCTGACCCAGGGAGTAGCTCTTGTGACACAAGTTTCACCACCACAGCAAACACCATTTTGTTCCTTATCAGTTCTTCTGCCATCCCCTCTCTGGTCCCTGGGGTCACTGTCACCAAAGTGCCCTAGATCAGTTATCAGGGTTCCTGGGGACAAAGGCTCTGGTTAGGCTCCAGTGGCTCTGCCTGCCTGACTTCCCACTAGAGATAGGAAGTTTGGGTGAGGGTGAAAGGCTCTTTTCTCTGTGTGCTGGAAATACTCTTGAGCTGATGGGCAGCTTTGCTCTTGTAGCTGTAAGACCAAATCAAATCTTCCAGTGAAGAATCCTTCACTTGAGCTTTCAAAAACATGAAGCAAAGTACAGTTTCAGCCTTTTAAATAGGAGGAAATAAAACAAAGCAGGAGTTTCAGATTCTGCCATTCATCTCCTTTCCCCCTGAGCTGAGGCACTTCCAGTTCTGTGGCTGACAGGGACTCCAGCTCGCTCTTGGACGTGGCTGCTGTGGAGATTAGAGGGACAATCCACGCTGAGCTGCCAGGCTTAGGGAGCTTATTCCCAGCCTTCAGCCTTGGGCAGAAGATGTTTGCAGATAAAGCTGGTGTCAGTCCACACTCCGGGGGCTCAGGTCAGCTCCTCAGGGCCTTGGGGCTGGCAGGCTCAGCACAGGCAGTCCCTGGACTTGGCCAGCTGTGTACAGGTGGCCTCTCATGGGCTGCCTGAAACTTGCTCTGGCAGATGCAAAACCAGAGGGATTTGGGGTTTTTAGGTACTTAGCTTAATTTCTTTATTTCTTCATCTGCTGGCTATCTGCCTGTCAGTATTTGTGGAGGTCAGTCCTCTGTTTTTCTTCACTTTTCCCTCTTTGTCTTCTGCATGGATCATCTTCTGCTGGGGACAGAGGAATGTCCATGCTGCTTGTTCCCATGGTGGCTCGTTGCAGATGAAGATTAATGAAATCCAGTCTCAGGAACACGTTGACGTGTATCAGCATCACAATGCTTGGCTCATCTCTGGAAGATAAGCTCAGCCTGAGCTCAACCAAGCCCTGTCCTGGTGCCCTGCAGGTGCTGATTCTGTCCAGGCAGGACGAGGAGCCTTGGACTCTGCTCTGGGCATCCACAGTCCTTTGGCTGATGTGGCATTTCCCTTTGGAGTGGTGGCAGAGCTGCACCAACACCCTGAGACAACGCTCCTGCCAGGCTGTTTTACAGGCAGTTCCCTTCTGCTGGGTGCTCAGGATTAACCTTTCACACAGCCCAGGAGTTCCTCTTGCGCTGTTTTACCCCCCTTTATATATGCACAGGATACAAATTAATATTGCACATTCTCCTCACTCAAAAAGAGGTGGAATTTAAAGGGATTGAGAGCAAGGATTCCTTGTCACTACATGCTTTTGGGTTGTAATTTGACCATGTTATTGTGCACTGGAAAAATAATTTTGGAAAGAAGTATCCTTGCAGTAGGACTCCATATTCTCCAGCTGGTGCCTGTCTTTCAGGGAAGCAGCATCCCAGAAGCAGCAGCTCTCTGCCCAGGGCTGCTCTTGTGCCATCAGCGTTGCTAATTGCTTCTCACAACCGCAATTAGTGCTCCAATGGCAAAGGCATCTCCTGGAAATGAGTTAACGGATTTTGGGTGGCCTGGCAGAGCTGAGGAGGGAGCCTGTGCTTTGGTGGCTCTTTGAGATGCACAGTGATGTCAGTGCTCACTGCTGGAGTTACACAAACAATGGGGAGAGCTCTCAGCAGACGTGAAGGAGGGAAATGAGGATTTGAGAAGCCCTGGACTGTCAGCAGAGCAGGGGCAGCACTCCCCCAGCTCTGGGCCATGCCCTGTACATCCCGTTCCTGATCAGATCCAAAGGCAAGCTTCTGCTCCACTGCTGCAGAGCTGAGCCAAAACGGAGCAGAGACCCATCCTTTTCTCCCTTCAGAACTACTAGGCAAGAGAAACAGTAGTTGGTGTTGAATACGAGGCTGAAGCAACTTTAACTGGGTGATCTGCCCTGTTCCTGGTCTAAGATGTTGTCCTACTCTGTCCCTTGGGAGCTGATTTCAGTCACACAAATCCATTCCTGTACATAGCTTACATTTCAATTTCTTTCAGGTTATGGCATTTTGGAATATTTTACATTCCTTCAGGAATGTAAAATATTAACACCATAAGAGAAGTGTGTATTTTCCTACTAAAAATGGCGTTCATTTAAATGTATCTGCATCTGAAACCCAAAAGAGCCAAAGAGTACATGGTATTTCTTGTAGTTTAATGTATGACGTGTCTGTAACTAGCTGAGCTCTGGGGAGATGTCCCTGTTTGCACTGGCACAGGGTTTTCTGGGAATGCTCGATGCCTTCACAGCCATTTGCTCTTCACTTTGTCTGCAGTGGCAGCTGATGATTCTTGGCTTTGGTGTTTTGTAGAGGAGAACAGGAACAGCATCATCAACTCCAGCCTGGAATCTGTCGTCTCTTCAAATGTAAACAGCTTCCTCAACTCCAACAGCGCTCCCCAGCCCAGCCTGAACTCCAGTGATCTTGAACTAGAAGTAATTAAGCCCAACAGGCCAAATTCCCTGTAAGTACAATGGTAATTAGTGTTTTATAGACTCTCCATCTTTAATCCTTAACCAGAATAGTTTCTTATTCTCAACGTCAGCAGCCTGCTGCAGAATACAATTTAACATTTTAATTTTTAATGGGCACCAAACATTTGCCTCCATTTTTAACTCGGTCTAAGCAGTGGAATCAGTTACTATGGGTTACATCTGCCATGGGTTCCAGCTCTGATGGTTCTGCCCACGTGGGATATTTTTGAGCAGAACTCCCCAGTGCTGCCCGGCCCATCTGGTGATAACTCCAACACACACAAAGGACTTTTCTTCTGACTTCAATCCTGTGACTGTTGTCAGTACAGTTGATCTCCAGCCAAATCTGTGCCGTTGCTTCTGCTATTGCTTCCTTCATCTGGAAAGTTCAAGGGAAAACATGGTGACCTTAGCAATGCCTCCCTGGGGACGGCCGGGTTATTTCTGAAGGCCCTGAACTTGCCGCGGCGGAGCCCTCGCGCTGGCGGCTCCGCTGGGGGAATTTCCTTCCTGCCAGGCCAGCCCCGCAGCATTTTCCCACAGAAGCTCCCCTCCCACCACGTGAGGATCTGCTCAGATCTCCAGGAGATGAAACCCATTCCCGCAGAGCTCTGGGCACACCCTGCACACCCCCGGGATGGGCGGCAGAGACATTGTCCTTGTCACCTCTCCCAGTGCAGGGACACCATCCTTGACACCTCTCCCAGAGAGGGACACTGGCCTTGCCACCTCTCCCAGTGCAGGGACACCGTCCTTGTCACCTCTCCCAGAGCAGGGACACCATCCTTGTCACCTCTCCCAGAGCAGGGACACCATCCTTGTCACTCCTCCCAGAGCAGGGACACCGTCCTTGCCACCTCTCCCAGAGCAGGACACCATCCTTGCCACCTCTCCCAGAGCAGGACACCATCCTTGCCACCTCTCCCAGTGCAGGACACCATCCTTGCCACCTCTCCCAGAGCAGGACACCATCCTTGCCACCTCTCCCAGTGCAGGACACCATCCTTGCCACCTCTCCCAGAGCAGGACACCATCCTTGCCACCTCTCCCAGTGCAGGACACCATCCTTGCCACCTCTCCCAGTGCAGGGACACCATCCTTGTCACGTCTCCCAGAGCAGGACACCGTCCTTGTCCTCCCTCCCAGGGCCCCAGACCCTCCCAGTCCCCACCCATCTGAAGCAGCCCCCATGCCCTGGGAGCAGCTGGGTGCCAGTGGGGCTGGGCATGGCCGGTGCTGGGACAGGTGCTGTGGCCATGGTGAGCTGTTGCCTTGGCTGGGCTGGGTTTGGGGTTTGAGGTGCAGCTCTCACTCCGGCATTCGGGATGGCTCCAGGCCCTGCCGGGCTCCCCCAGGCAGGAAGGTAAGTGTGGAACAGACACAGGCTTCATCCAGCTTCACCATCTGCTCTGCTTCCATCATCCTCCTCGTGCCACTAACCGCTGAGCTGCAGCAGCCCCGCAGCAGCCTCTCCTCGGTGTGCCCAGGAGCAGGGTTGGGATGCCCAACCCAACCCAGGAGAGCCGTGGAGAAAGGACACACCACCCAAAGGTAGGACACCTCCAAATCAAGGCTGTGCTGTACATATAGAGTAAAGATGCTTCTCTCTCTCATGCCTGGATGAAGCTCTGGAGTCAGTCACATCCCATTCCCCAACAGGATGGCTTTAGTTTATCCTTCAAGGGGCAAAAACGTGGTGTGTCTTAGGACAGGATGAGGTTTGTGAGCCTGTGTCTTGCTGGGACTGTACAAGGATTGGTTGCCAAATTCACAGTTTTTCAGATTCCAAGAGTTGCCTCTTCCTAAGGATTTCTTTCTTAACGGAAGTTGCAGAGGCATTCAGCAGAATAACTCAGTGAAAGCTGTGTGAGGCTCTGGGGAGCGGAGGCACCGTGCTGTTCCCGAGGGATTAGGTGAGCGGGCTGGCACCGAACCAGGTGCTTGTGCCAGTTACAGAGCCTTTATTCTGAGAGGTGAGACAGGGCTGGGCAGGATGGCACTGGCAGCTCGTGCCTCTGACAGTGCTGGTGGCAGTTGGTGCTTTTCCATAAGTCGTGCACGTGCAGGATCACGTGGGGTTTTGGTCTATGTTGAGCTTAAGTTTGAAATATGGATCCTAAGGGGGCTAGTACCACAGGGTGCATATTCTCTGTGACCCCAAATATTTAAATCAAATGTCTTTAATCCAATCTTTCAAAGAGAAATGAAGCAGTTGACTGGATTTTATTCTGACTAAGTGTGTGTGGCTCACTCCTGCTTGTCCAGGAGTGTTTTTGAGAGCTCCGTGGGGTTCTGCCCTTGGTGGGCCGGGTTTGCAGTGGTGAGGATGAGGAGGGTGAGGAGGGCTGCCAGCAGTGGGTCTGTCCCCAGCCCTGCCCTGTGGCTGCAGGCTGGGCTGGGGCAGGGTGTGAATGGTGCCAGTGTCCGGCGGCTCTGTCCCGCTGCTCTGCGGGGCTGCCCAAATAATGTCTCCATAAAGACACTTCTGTTTGCCCAGGCAGCTGAGAAATGTGGGTTTTGCAGGCAGCCTCGGCAGCCAGGCACTCTGCCTGGGCTGGGGCAGCTGCTGCTGCTGTGCCGGGGTTCTGGAGCTCCCCTGGAATTACCTGCCCACAGTTAGGATCGTTGGCCATGGCAGGGGCTGGATGTGCCTTGGGGTTTGTGCTCCTTCAAACACTGCCAGATGCTCTGCTGGTCCTGTGACACCTGTGCCTGGGCTCTCTTCAGGACTTTGGGGGTTTTTCTTGTGTTCCCCACAATTTTCTGTAATTTTTAGCCAGGAGCTGCTCAGGAGGGGCTGGCTCGTGGCAGTCCCCATGAGCCCATTGGGAGCCTGTAGTCACCCAAACTGGGAAGCTGCAGGGAAAGGAGTTGGGTCATTCTGATGTTCTTCATTCCTACAAGTAGTCCTCCTGCTATTCCTGTGGAAATAACTCCTGTGGATTTCAGCAGGAGTCTCCTTGGAGTGCAAATACTGAGTCCTGCAGGCCTGGGGCGTTTCTTGTGTCCCATTTGTGGCTGTGAGCACTGATGTGTCCAAGGTGGCCTTTAAATGTGCCAGCTGTAAATTGTGAGCACCATCTGCGAAATGAGAGATGTTTGTTTGAGCTTCTGTTTACAAAAGCCCTTGGCTCCCTGCTAAATGCTCGTGTATCCCCCAGGTCTGCTCTGCCAGGAGCTGTGCCAGTTCCTAAATCCCCCTCATGAGCTAGTGTCGCTTCTTCCCAGCTGCTGCAGCAGTGGCTGTGCTGGGGCTGGGGTCCCTCCACCTCGGTGCTGGTCCCCCTGTCCCCCTCCCCAGGGAAATGGGCTCCTTCTGATGTGCTTTCCCTGGAGCACAGTCCAGAGTCTCCAATCCAGAGGGAAATTGTTTTGCTGCTGGGCTCAGGTTTTTCCTTCCCAGCCACCAGTCGGGTTTTTACTATGGGAATGCATTTATTTATTAGTGCTGGGTTTATTTTTATGGAAAAACTGCTCTGGGCAGGAGTTGTACTGGGTGAGTCAGTGGGGCTGCTGTCCCGTGCCAGGAGCTGTCGCTGTGGCTGCGGCCGCCCGGGCACCGGGGCCACCCGGCCGTGGGCAGGGATGGTGTCCAAAGCAGTGCTGCCTTTCTGTGTCCCAGCAGCTTTCTGTGTCCCAGCACCTTTCTGTGTCCCAGCAGCTTTCTGTGTCCTGTTAGTGTCTTTATCCTGCCCCTGCAGAAAGCATCTTCCTTAGAAAACAGCCAAGCATGAAGCAGAAAGCGCTGTGCTTCTAGCAGAGATGTGTCCTTCAGCTGAGGCAGGGGAAGGACAAGGGAATGGCTTCATACTGCTAGGGGAGGGTTAGATGGGATACTGGGGAGGAATTGTTCCCTGGAGGATGGGGAGGATCTGGCACAGGGTGCCCAGAGCAGCTGTGGCTGCCTCATTGCTGAGAATTTCCAAGGCCAGGCTGGACAGGGCTTGGAGCGACCTGGGACAGTGGAAGTTGTCCCTGCCATGGCAGGGGTGGCACTGGGTGGTTCCAGCCAAGGAGATAGAACCCGTTTAACATCCTTCCTGTGTTCTTCGCTGCCTCCAGGGCTGCCAGGGCTGCCAGTGCTGGTGCCCATCCTCAGCCTCAGGCCTGGGGCACTGGTAGATGGGGCCATGGGCCAGGCTGAGCCCCCGCACTGCCAACCCTAGCCCAGGCTGATGCTGCCCCTCCTTCACCCCAGGGACTTGGCATTTAGAGAAATAATAACCTTGGGAAACTCAGATTTAGTCAGTACATGTCTATTTGCATTTAATTTCATTTTCTCACTGACCAAGTATGGCTATTTCTTGCCCTCTGTGGATATGGAAAGAAATGAGGAGCAGATCTAAGGTCTAGTGGTCATGAAAAAATAACCCAGTTGCTCCAAGGAAGAGTGGTTATTCCCACATAAATAAATCTTCATTAGGCATCCCAGTTAAAATTGAACATTTCTCTTTCCATGCCTGAAAATGAGAAATTTCAACTATTACTGTCTCCATCAAGGACTTCTCCAAGTGGCTGGGAGGGAGCTGTGGGGCAGGGAGGCAGGGGATAGCACACCAGAGCTGTGGGACTGAGGTGATGCTGCACCCTCCTCCCATTGCTCTGTTCCTGTGCTCTGCTCTGGAGGCTCTCACCATCCCAAATCCAAGTGCAGCATCCCGGAGTCATGGACCAGACACTGCTTTGGCCTGGAATGGCCTTCAGGCTCCTCCATCCCATGGGCAGGACACCTTCCATTATCCCAGGCTGCTGTAAGTCCTGTCCAGCCTGGCCTTGGACACTGCCAGGGATCCAGGGGCAATGGATCAAACAGGAGAGGGGAGGATTTCTTTGGAAAATGGTCTCCTAAGAATGCAGGTAGCTTTGACAGTTATCAGCGGGGACATGGAAGCAAAAGCTCCTGGGGAGCTGGGCAGAGCTGCAGGAGAGACCAGGCTGTGCCAGAGGGGCTGTGGTGAGCCAGAAACGAGCCCTTGGCCTGCCTGACCTC